CCCTTTTCTAGTATATATATAACTTTAAAATACCTTTTTAAAAAAGCATAAAAAGACTGAAGATTGCCCTTATTTTAAAAAGGCAATCAGAACAACACATAAATCAAGTAATCAATCATTTAGGCTCGTAACAATAATATACTGACTAAAAACTTATCAAATACAAAGCTCGCGCAACAGAAGCAGTTCTCAACTACTATATCTAGAGCTAGGAATGGGTCTATAAATTATTGGGAATATACGTATATGAACGTATTAGTCTATCGAGCAACTACAAAGTTGTAACTAATACCAAAGTTGTATAAAAAAAAATGTCCGTGTTGTAATTATAATTTTTCTGAAACTATATATCATATTCTAATATGTTAAATTTTCTGAACAGCCGTATAAAGTAAAAAAAATTAAGCAATACATTCCAAGGCTCTACAGGATATGCAAAAACATTAACGATGCGCCACCCACGCAAGCTTAAATCAGGCTGGTAAAAAAAATTTCTTGTAGTCTATAAATTATTTCTTTGACTTTGCAAGAAAGAAGCAGTCTAATATCTCACTATTAATGGAGCTGGAAACAGCAAATTTTCTAGTAGAACTTGCGTTGCTTCAAAATTATTTTCAAAAGAGTAAAGCTTTTACCAAACTCCTTGAATCTATTACCGATGAATATAAAGTACCTAAATAACTGATAATAGTTGGCTAATTTATATAAAAAGTAGGAACCAAAATCTGTCGGCAAAATATTTTAAGTATAGTTTAAGCTTAATTCTAATTAAGTTATATGAATAAAAAAAAATAAATACAGACTATGCAAAATTTTATGGGGCTTATTAGGTATAGAACATAAAGGTGAATCAATTAAGGTAACTCTAAAATAAGTAGGAACTTCTATTAAATATTTATTAAAACTCCCCACAAAACAAACAAATCTCAGCAAAATATATAGCTTTTTATAATTTGAAAATATAATTTTGTTATCTTTGATAATAAATAACTTTGGACATTAGATAGAAAGAAATAAGATAAAGCCATCATAGATAACTCCATTTTAGCATCATTTAGAGCAGTAAAGTCAAATAACAGCTTTAACCAATAAAAAAAGTTAAAATAAAGCAACAGAAATTTTGTGTCAAGGGCTAAGGATAAAAGCGGTTTATTAAATAAAGATATAAACATAACTAGGAAAAAATAATAATTGAATAGCTTACTTTTCCTTAATGGAAAAGTAAGCTTCTTAAATACTTT